AATAATTATGTTTTGTAAAGTAAACCTTTACTAACAATTTTTTCACTCAAAAACTAAGGAGAGTGAAAAGTTGAAATTTTGAGGACTTTTTCCTAAAGGTTCAATGTAAAAAATACTAAAAACTCAAAGCGATTGAGTTATTATTAATGGAGTTATGATTTTTTTAAAATAATGATATTTTGTAAAGTAAGACTTTATAAACAATTTTTTCAATCAAAAACTAAAGTGAGTGAAGAGTTTAAATTATGAGGACTTTTTCCTAAAGGTTAAATGTAATAAATTCTAAAAACTCAAAGCAAATGAGTTATTATTAATGGAGTTATGATTTTTTTAAAAATACTGATGTTTTGTAAAGTAAGACTTAACAAACAATTTTTTCACTCAAAAACTAAAGTGAGTGGAAAGTTGAAATTTTGAGGACTTTTTCCTAAAGGTTCAATGTAAAAAATACTGAAAATTCAAAGCGATTGAGTTATTATTAATGGAGTTATGATTTTTTTAAAATAATGATATTTTGTAAAGTAAGACTTTATAAACAATTTTTTCAATCAAAAATTAAAGTGAGTGAAACGTTGAAATTTTGAGGACTTTTTCCTAAAGGCACAATGTAAAAAATATTAAAAACTCAAAAAATTCTTTATTAATGGAGTCATGATTTTTTAAAAATAATGATGTTTTGTGAAGTGAGACTTTACAAATAATTTTTTCACTCAAAAACTAAAGTGAGTGGAACGTTGAAATTTTAAGGACTTTTTCCTAAAGGTTCAAGGTGAAAAATACTGAAAACTCAAAGCTATTGAGTTAATATTAATGGAGTTATGATTGTTTTAAAATAATTATGTTTTGTAAAATAAAACTTTACAATTTTTTCACTCCAAAACTAAAGTAAGTGGAAAGTTGAAATTTTGACCACTTTTTCCTAAAGGTTCAATGTAAAAAATACTTAAAACTCAAAGCGATTAAGTTATTATTAATGGAGTTGATTTTTTTTAAATAATGATGGTTTGTAAAGTAAAACTTTATTAATAATTGTTTCACTCAAAAAATAAAGTGAGTGGAGATTTGAAATTTTGAGGACTTTTTCCTAAAGGTTCAATATAATAAATACTAAAAACTCAAAGCAATTGAGTTATTATTAATGGAGTTATGATTTTTTTTAAATAATAATGTTTTGTAAAGTAAGACTTTACAAACAATTTTTTCAATCAAAAACTAAAGTGAGTGAAGAGTTTAAATTTTCAGGACTTTTTCCTAAAGGTTAAATGTAAAAAATTCTAAAAACTCAAAGCAAATGAGTTATTATTAATGGAGTTATGATTTTTTTTAAAATACTGATGTTTTGTAAAGTAAGACTTAACAAACAATTTTTGCACTCAAAAACTAAAGTGAGTGGAGAGTTGAAATTTTGAGGACTTTTTCCTAAAAGGTTCAATGTAAACAATTCTAAGTTCAAATTTTGAGAACTTTTCCTAAAGGTTCAATGTAAAAAATACTGAAAACTCAAAGCCATTGAGTTATTATTAATGGAGTTATGATTTTTTTAAATAATGATGTTTTGTAAACTAAAACTTTACAAACAATTTTTTCACTCAAAAACTGAAATGAGTGGAAAGTTGAAATTTTGAGGACTTTTTCCTAAAGGTTCAATGTAAAAAATACTGAAAACTCAAAGCGATTGAGTTATTATTAATGGAATTATGATTTTTTTTGAAATAATTATGTTTTGTAAAGTAAACCTTTACTAACAATTTTTTCACTCAAAAACTAAGGAGAGTGAAAAGTTGAAATTTTGAGGACTTTTTCCTAAAGGTTCAATGTAAAAAATACTAAAAACTCAAAGCGATTGAGTTATTATTAATGGAGTTATGATTTTTTTAAAATAATGATATTTTGTAAAGTAAGACTTTATAAACAATTTTTTCAATCAAAAACTAAAGTGAGTGAAGAGTTTAAATTATGAGGACTTTTTCCTAAAGGTTAAATGTAATAAATTCTAAAAACTCAAAGCAAATGAGTTATTATTAATGGAGTTATGATTTTTTTAAAAATACTGATGTTTTGTAAAGTAAGACTTAACAAACAATTTTTTCACTCAAAAACTAAAGTGAGTGGAAAGTTGAAATTTTGAGGACTTTTTCCTAAAGGTTCAATGTAAAAAATACTGAAAATTCAAAGCGATTGAGTTATTATTAATGGAGTTATGATTTTTTTAAAATAATGATATTTTGTAAAGTAAGACTTTATAAACAATTTTTTCAATCAAAAATTAAAGTGAGTGAAACGTTGAAATTTTGAGGACTTTTTCCTAAAGGCACAATGTAAAAAATATTAAAAACTCAAAAAATTCTTTATTAATGGAGTCATGATTTTTTAAAAATAATGATGTTTTGTGAAGTGAGACTTTACAAATAATTTTTTCACTCAAAAACTAAAGTGAGTGGAACGTTGAAATTTTAAGGACTTTTTCCTAAAGGTTCAAGGTGAAAAATACTGAAAACTCAAAGCTATTGAGTTAATATTAATGGAGTTATGATTGTTTTAAAATAATTATGTTTTGTAAAATAAAACTTTACAATTTTTTCACTCCAAAACTAAAGTAAGTGGAAAGTTGAAATTTTGACCACTTTTTCCTAAAGGTTCAATGTAAAAAATACTTAAAACTCAAAGCGATTAAGTTATTATTAATGGAGTTGATTTTTTTTAAATAATGATGGTTTGTAAAGTAAAACTTTATTAATAATTGTTTCACTCAAAAAATAAAGTGAGTGGAGATTTGAAATTTTGAGGACTTTTTCCTAAAGGTTCAATATAATAAATACTAAAAACTCAAAGCAATTGAGTTATTATTAATGGAGTTATGATTTTTTTTAAATAATAATGTTTTGTAAAGTAAGACTTTACAAACAATTTTTGCACTCTAAAACTAAAGTGAGTGGAGAGTTGAAATTTTGAGGACTTTTTCCTAAAGGTTCAATGTAAAAAATTCTAAAAACTCAAAGTGAATGAGTTATTATTAATGGAGTTATGATTTTTTTTAAATAATGATGTTTTGTAAAGTAAGACTTTCAAACAATTTTTTCACTCAAAAACTAAAGTGAGTGGAAAGTTCAAATTTTGAGAACTTTTCCTAAAGGTTCAATGTAAAAAATACTGAAAACTCAAAGCCATTGAGTTATTATTAATGGGATTTTTTTAAATAATGATGTTTTGTAAAGTAAAACTTTACAAACAATTTTTTCACTCAAAAACTAAAGTGAGTGGAAAGTTGAAATTTTGAGGACTTTTTCCTAAAGGTTCAATGTAAAAAATACTGAAAACTCAAAGCGATTGAGTTATTATTAATGGAATTATGATTTTGTTTGAAATAATTATGTTTTGTAAATTAAACCTTTACTAACAATTTTTTCACTCAAAAACTAAGGAGAGTGAAAAGTTGAAATTTTGAGGACTTTTTCCTAAAGGTTCAATATAAAAAATACTAAAAACTCAAAGCGATTGAGTTATTATTAATGGAGTTATGATTTTTTTAAAATAATGATATTTTGTAAAGTAAGACTTTATAAACAATTTTTTCAATCAAAAACTAAAGTGAGTGAAGAGTTTAAATTTTCAGGACTTTTTCCTAAAGGTTAAATGTAAAAAATTCTAAAAACTCAAAGCAAATGAGTTATTATTAATGGAGTTATGTTTTTTTTAAATAATGATGGTTTGTAAAGTAAAACTTTATAAATAATTGTTTCACTCAATAACTAAAGTGAGTGGAGAGTTGAAATTTTGAGGACTTTTTCCTGAAAGTTCAATGTAAAAAATATTGAAAACTCAAAGCGATTGAGTTATTATTAATGAAGTTATGATTTTTTAAAAATAATGATGCTTTGTAAAATGAAACTCTAAGGTGCATTAGTTAAAAATATTTTTGAATATGCAGGGTGCTCCGCAAATGGGGTATGGCGACTGAACTTTGTTATTTAAAATAGAACACTCTATATTTTAGTACAATAATGGATTGTTCTAAAAATCCTACGTACTTTTTGTTAGGAATTACCTATACTAAAACTCAACCGTTTTTGAAAAAAAAATTTAGTATTTTTTCAAAAAATCACAGTTTGCATGTGTCAACAAAAACCAACATTTCATTCATTTGAGATCCTTAAGCTAAATCTTTTGCAGGTTGTCAGTGCATATCTACATTTACTTCATAGAGTCTTATGAAAATCTGATAACATTCTTTAGAGTGTTTGCAATACTGTATACACAAAACCAGACATTTCAAACAACCATAACTCATTTTTTTTTCTTCAAATGGTCTTTGAAGTAAATAATCTACCTAACGTTAATCTACCAACCAAATTTCCTAACTCTTTCCAGAGACGCCTCTAATCTTTATAATCATTAATGGATTTCAAACCGATCAAATTTCACAGTTTAAATCAAACGCCCTTAGCCGTTACATGTAAACAATGAGCTGTCAATAAAATCCTCTTAACTTATTTCAATGTGGGATGCCTGTTAATTGATTGTATCTAAACTTCTGAGGAGTTTGAACTAAGATCGTATTAACTACTGAACTAAGATACAGGGTAAACCTGTTTTTTATTTATAGCTATTGGAAATCAGTGAAAATGCATAAAATATTGTTATATGATATATTTATTATTTTGCTTTTCTTTCAAAGGGTTTTATTTTATATAAAAGACTTCCTCATTAACACCTATCGCTTGAACGCGGCCAAACAAAACCAACCCAGTTTTCTAATAACATCAATTATCAGATGAAATGGACCATTATTTTCACTATTCAAATTGTTTATACTATTACCACCATAACCAGTTATAATGGTTTTTTGTTTTCTTTCTCTCTTTCACACGCCGGTTCTACTACCTTTTGCCTTGAACCCGCGCTTGGTTCTCGGTTATGGTGCCGTTTTTCAGTGTCAGTCTCTACCAGGCCCGCACAAAAAGATCCTACTGTATTTAAAACATAATTTTTTCTTGTTTCAGATGGCTGACGCAGTAAAGAAATCTAGAATAGTAAGTGACGACGAAAACCTGGAAGAAGCTTTCCTAGAGGAATTTAACCTAAGACTAAAAAACTGCATGAGCCAAGTTTGTATATTTTTTTTGCAATCTTTTTATTTTTTCTAACACGCCTATTTTGTGTGCTCACTAACCCTAAATTTCCAGGACGATCTTCAAAAAGAAACAGAACCTCCGGAACCAGACGACATCTACGAAAACATAAATTCGCCCAAAAAAGTGATCCTTGACACGAATAATTTTTTACAAACGGAAATCGAAGAAAACCACTATGAGGTGCCAAAAGGTACCCGATTGAAAAATGGTACGAAAGAAAACGGACATAAAAGCGAAGAGGAAATTTATGAATCTATTCCAGAAAAGACTGATACAAATTTGGACCAAAATTACATTCCGATGGTAGAAAATAAGAACGAAATAGATTTAAGTCCTCAAAAGTCTGAAGAATACGAACCTATGGGGCTTGAAGAAGTAAGGTCCAATCTTTACGAGAGCGTAGAATTAGCAAAAACAGAACAACCCCCGAAAAAAGCAACTCCTACCCTAAATCTTCCTACAACATGTTTTACAGATTATTCAGAAGACATGTCACCAGACAAAGAAGGCAAATGCTCAGTTACAGCCAGAGACAGAATGCTTCTGAGCTGTGACGATACATCAACACTTTTATTTACTCAAACCGTTACTTCCCCAATGCTGACCCCAAGTGAAGAAAACATCGACTTCCTAAAAGGCTTCCAAAGAGATAATACTATATCTGAAAGTACTGCGACTAACAGTAGCCCTCCTAAAGACTTAGAAGAGAAACTTGAAGCCTCCGAAACCAGCCCCGACGTTTCTGAGAATTTGGAAGAAGAAAAGACTGCTGCAGCAGAAAATTTTTACGAAAATACCGATTTTTACAATAACACTACACCAGAAAATATGTACGAAAACGTCAATATGGAAGCTAATGCTGCTTCTAATGTTGAAGAAGAAGCAATTTACGAACAATTAGAATTAAAAAACAAAACTCCTGAAGAACAAGAAGAAGGAAATATTTATCAAAATATCGAAGAAGCTTTAGCTGAAGATGTAATACAGAAAAATCGTAAAAGTCAAGATACAGATGAAGGTAGCTTAGAGGAATTTATAAGATATGAAAAGGAAGTTTCGGAAAGCTTTTTGGTTAATAAGGAACGTTTTGAAGAAGACATAGAAGAAGAAATCAATGATGTTGAAGGGGAAAATATTCAAGAATTTGATAATCAGGAAGTTATTGATCCACCAGTCGAACAAGAAACAATCTCTACAACGGAAAAAACTATTGCCGAACCCTTACAAAATGGACAACAAGAATCTATGGAAAGCATTCAAACAAGTTTAGATTCAGTCTCAGAAAGCAAAGAAAAAATATTCTCAGAAACTTATAAGGAACTAATTTATCATCAAAAATCCGAATCAAATTCAAATTATTACGAAAAATATACCGAGGTACTGACCAAGAAATCTAAAACTAACGATTTGATGACTAACAGAGAAAAAGATACAGAAACAGTACCAGCCGAGATAGTGAAAAACTTAAAAAGCCAATTCCAAAGTAAAGCGGATGGAGCGGAGGTGGTAGGCATTGTAAGAAAAGTGACCAATACTACTGCAGCTGAAATCAAAAGTGCAAATATAATTAATCAAATAAAAACAAAGTTTGAGGGAGCAACAGACAGTGGAGGAGGAAAAACTACTGTTGTTGATGGTGATGTAAGTATTACATTTTTAATTTATTATTATAGAAAATTGCGTGCAATATTTATCAAGGACGTTGAGTTCCTAAAGCCCATTGTAGCGTAGAGAAATTGCAAAACTGAGCGTTTCATTCAACAGATGGTTTTGATAATAAACAATGGCTACAATAATTGGGTTTTGAATTAAATGAAACGGAACTGAAATTTCTATGAATTTTGTTTTTAAGCAAGATGTAGAAAATCTTCTATTTCAATATAGGTAAAGGGAGGGCAGCTTGCCAGCTCACCTGATTTATATTGGTAATGTATCTTGTTTGAAATTTGTGCATGATAAATAGCTGTTGATGATTGTTTTTTATTTATTGTTTTTTAATTGATGCTAATCCTTTCAAATATTTATACGAATTGCAATTGCTTTTTTCTCATTAAAATATTGGATTAAATAGAAACTCATCTAAAACCTCATTAATTGAAAACGATCTCTGATTATGCAGTAATGAGAGTTATTAAGTGGGATTTTAATTATTGATAATCACTTCTGGTAATTGAAAAAAGAATATAAATTAAATTAATTGCAATGTAAACTGTTTATTTATTAGTTACTTTTTTATTTTTATGTTTTTAATTTTTCTTTAGACTACCGAATATTCAGAAACTATAGTAGAGACCAATGCTCCTGGTGAAAAATGCATTAAAAAGAAAAAAGTGAAAAAGACCAGAAAAGAGGAAAAAGAAAATATTTCTGTTGTAAGTTTTTCGTTTGGTTTAGTTTTGTATTTTATTTTAGTTGGGCTAATGTTGTTTTGATTTTCGTTTTGTTTGAATTCGTTTTTGTTATGTTGCATTGTACTAATTTTAGACAGAAAACGGACAAGTAGATGGGGAAAACTTTTACAATGTTAGCGTGAAAAATTTGGTAAGAATGTGTTTTACTTTCATTAATATACATTTTAGTCACTCCAAGGTATGATTCGTATCACCCACTTATGCATTAAACATTGTCTAATTTTACTTTTATTCAAATCCAAACACTTTCTAGAAAATTTACAAACCATTTTTAAAAATAGAAATGAACTTTTGCCAAAACACATTTGAGAATGTTTTGAATTTCTGCATGGTCCATGATCAATACAAATTTAAAACTATACATCACGTTTGCTATAGAAAAACTCAATTTAACTCCGAATTCTACTTTAAAACTTATTTTGAATCGGAGAATAGGTTCAACTGTAGGAAAATTAAGTTTAACTTTTGAAATTAGTTTGCAAAAACTAAATTTATATGGATTGGAACAATATTTAATCACTGCCTGACCTTTCTCTATTTTACTTAATTTACTCTTAATTCCTATTTGTTATTAGAATATAGTATCTAAAATAACTGCTGGGTACAGCCGCGTCCAGACGTAACAGACAATTAAACGTAACTATACAATACTGTCACGGCTCTGGGGTATGTAACAGAAATCTTGGGTCCGTTTATTCCAAAATCAAAGTCCAATTAACACAACAATAATTTATTTCACGTTACTATACACTCTGACACTAATTAGCTCAAACAACTTAACTCTTTACAACTTTACAATATTAACTATCTAAAACGTATCACAGCCAATTTTAGAACTTAAAACTACAAACTAATACCGGTTTTTATATATCTGTAATCCATTCTTGTAAAATCCAGAATAAATGCGATAATCTTTTTGCCCGAATAAAGCCAGGGACACATCTATCATGCATTCTTCCGATCCGACTCCGATCATACAATCAGGGTCCTTATACTTGGACAATAATATGCAATTGATAATATGAGTAACGAAGACGGAACACTCGTTCTCCTGAGAACGCTGCTCCCCTGTTCCAAGAATAAGGACCTTGATTGTATGATCGGAGTCGGATCGGAAGAATGCATGATAGATGTGTCCCGGCTTTAAGACATCAGTATTTTCTAGATTTCAAGTCAGATTCTGTACACCATGGCGGTATCGCACCTCTACATACTCTTATATCTTCTTTGTTTTCTTAATGCCATAATTTTTAACAATAAATCAATTTTTACCTACTGGTCACTGATGGACCACAATTTCTACAGAAAATGTAAATTTTGAGTAAATTAGCCACTTGGGATATAGACCGTCAGCTAATGACAGATTTTGCTGACCGATTTTCTCTCTTCGAGGATTTCAACCACTGAAAATTATGTCAGTGCTGAGCTCAAGAAATGAAAATTTAGCGACCGGACGTCTGCTAGGCATATGGAAAATCTTCTTTCCTTTGCAGCGGCCAGAAAACATACCTAAACAGCTAACCGGCTTATGGGAATCTTTTTTCTGGTTTCTAACGATATTAAATTTGATTCTGTCGAATGCCATAAGCGAGAAAACGATTAGCAACCGAATATTCTTCCACAAGATCGCGCTCTTATTTCAACTGTTTTAGTACGTACAAACCTTACGGCTTTGGTTTTTCATTATTAGATTGTTCTATAATGTTGATGTGTTAAAATGTCATGAAAGAGAAATTGGAAAAAACACCAATTTTTTTCCGAAAAAGGAAAATAAATTTTCCATATGCCTAGCAGACGCCCGGTCGCTAAATTTTCATTTTTTGTGCTCAGGGCCGAGATTCTAAAATCACGATTCGACACACGACTCGACAACGATACCGGCCTTGTCGTGTCGAAAGGTATAATTCCAATGAAATTTCTAACCTAGAATCGTCGGAAAAATTGTCTCGTTGTCGAATCGTATGTCGAATCGTGATTTTAGAATCCCCGACCAGCACTGACATAATTTTCAGTGGTTGAAATCCCTGAAGAGAGAAAATCGGTCAGCAAAATCTCTCATTAGCTGACGGTCTAGTATGGTGGAGGTTGCCGGTTTCATTCAATTAAGTTAGAGTTAAGAGGAATATCCTCGTTAAAGGTGACATTGGTGGAAATGGACATACCTTTTTGGTCCTGAGATCATATAATCTTAAGTTGGAACTGTTAGAAACACAGAGGAAAGCAATAAAACAATGTGGTTCGGTTGAACTCAAGATAAAGATTGACAAACTGTCATTTATTAACCAGCAGAATGTTATAATAGTATATTATGATACAAGTGTATAAGGAGGCCTTTAAAGCACACGCGACATATTTCAAAACACGACTCGCAGCGGAGTGTTTTGTAAGTCGCAAGGGCTTTAAAGGCCCTCTTATACACGCATATCATACGCTATTTTTTATTAAGAATACATCATATATTGTTAAAAAAAATTTAAATGTGTTCATTCATTTTGATAAATAGTAATTTAAACGGCAGGTAAATATCTAGGTGATAGAGGTAGATCAAACGTTTCTATAGCAAACTTTTGGAAAAGTAGGCGCATCATAAACATCATTTAATCCACGCTGCAGCGTGCGATAATCGTTGATTATGATGCATGTGTAATAAAAATTATATTACAGGTGACCAGTCAATAAACTAAACTAGTTACCTAAAGTGGAATAATATAGAGGGTGATAAAATAGAAATTCTTTTTTGATACAATTCTACACCCCCGCACTTATCAAAAAATAATTTATGCAATAGGGAATTCTCATGAGAAATAAATATGGCTTATTTTGTTTTGATGTTGCACATTTTTCTGTAAAATATTGAATATGAGCAGTTCTGCATTAAATTTATCGATATTATAGCCATAGGGCAATTATTAGTTTTAAATTGAAAAGTTTCGCGCGGAAAAGCTACGTTTAAAATGGCCGCTTCCGGTGACGTCAACTGTTCGTAAACTAAAGTTAAGGGTAGTTTATACTGATCGTGAATAAAGAACGTGGTTCACGCTTTCGTGGTTCATTCTTGAGTCGTGAAGAACGATTGGTCCACAATCAGCTCACGAAACGCTGCGCGACTGATATTAAACCACTATATAAATGGGTCTATAGAGGGAAGATTGTTAAACTGCGTTTTTGTAAATCCTGTATCAACCATGATAAACCATTCAAAATACAAAATGTCACAATATAGGTACTCACAATTAGGCAATCTACTGACCTGTCAAAAACGAAATTCAATATGGAAGTTCGGGTCAAGCACTGTGTTGTTTATTCTGTATGTCATTGATTCTGTCACATTCTGGACAAACGTCCAGATTTGAATTATCGAATTTTGTGTTTTTTTGTGTGTTTAGGTATTGTGTTAATTAAAATGCCAGCGATTTGCATTGTAATTGGGTGTGGAAGTCGAGGTAACAGGGATAATGTGAATTTTTATTAAGTTCCTGCTATTTTAAATCATTGGCTTTTGATCTACAAATATGAATTATCAAAACAACGCAGCGCTTTATGGATTGCTGCAACTAAAAGCTCGAATTTCTCTTAATAATAATAATACCATAAGATATTCACTCTACATCATCTCAGAATTTATTATTAAATTAAAAAATACGTAGAAACAGTAGAAACACTATAAAATTCACTTTGAAAACAACAAGGGCCAGAACACTAAAAAATACGTAGAAATACTAAAGACTATAAAATTCACAATTCACTATGAAAACAACAGTGACCAAGACCAATGAAAAATACGTAGAAACACATAAAATTCACTTCGAAAGCAGCAAGGGCCAGAACACAAATGCTCTCCTTACAACGTCAAACGTCACCGGTTTGTCACCGCAATATTTGACCCGAACGGCCATTAAAAAATCACGTGATTGAGATTGCCTAATACGGCACTGAACACGGAAACCCGACGTAATAACCATTTTCAATGCAACCGAAGGTACCAGCTGAGCGATTTTTTCTGACAGTTTGCAAACTGTCAGCAGAGACATGAGTATGAAATGGACTGCGTGTTCCGTATAGTTGCCGTACGCGGCAGTGATGGAAAGATGGTTAGGCAACCAGTCTTTCGCATTGTGGGCAAGAAGCTACACAAGCGCATTATCCACAACGAGAAATAACACATAATTTCATTTAAAGGTGACATATAATTAGTTATCCATAGTGTATCATTGAAAACTAAATACCAGACGTGCTTAAATGTATGTGTTTTGTGCAGACCTGTGAGGCAAATTCAAAGGCACAAAATACTAGATTGTAAGGTACAAATACTTACAGGGTGGAATTTTTAAATGGAATAAAATTAGTATCAGAGAGCCTGTTTATTTTCTGGAGAAATAAAAAAAAACGGGTCCCTTTATTTTTAGTTTGGCACATTTTTTCGGCCTTTCCATGGAATTTACCCCTCTCTTAAGGGTAGAAACCACCCCCAACTTTTTTTTTCAAATGTAAAGATATGTATTGTGATAGCTCGTTGAAATGGGCATAAAAAAAGGAATATGACCCATTATTTACTTTTGCATTTCGGTGATCTAGTTATGTAATTATTTTTGACAATAACGCACTATTTTAGAGTTGAGAATCCGAGTATCAGGCATCAAATAGTGTGTTAACGTCAGAAATAATTACATAACGTTACAAATGCCAAATGGGGCTTACTTCGCATGAGGGTTCTACCAAGAAGAAATGCTGAAGATAATGAACAATTTTAACTGCAAAAAAATTGTTTGGAAAAATATTTTTTTATCTTTTTCTCGCTCTCTAGATCACCGAAATGCAAAAGTAAATAATAGGTCATATTCCTTTTTTTATGCCCATTTCAACGAGCTATCACAATACATATCTTTACATTTGAAAAAAAAAGGTTGGGGGTGGTTTCTACCCTGAAGAGAGGGGTAAATTCCATGAAAAGGCCGAAAAAATGTGCCAAACTAAAAATAAAGGGACCCGTTTTTTTTTTATTTTTCCAGAAAATAAACAGGCTCTCTGATAATAATTTTATTCCATTTAAAAATTCCACCCTGTATATGTAAACTTAAATTTAGGATTTAGATGCAAAACTGATTTTAATTCTACTGGTTCTTAAAAATT